TGCACATGGATCCTTCTCCAGAATGGACAATATGTTAGAACATAAAACAAGCATCAATAAATTCAAAAGCATTGAAATACTATAAAGCATCTTTTCAGACCACAATGCTCTAAAGCTAGAAATTAATAATAGGAAGAGCAAGGGAAAAACATGAAACATATGGAAGGTGAACAACTCACTGCTCAAAAACTACTGGGTAATAGAACAGATAAAAACTGAAATAAATAGTTCCTAGAAACAAATGAGAATGAAGATACATCATACCAAAACCTATGGGACACTGCGAAAGCAGTACTCAGAGGACAGGTTACAGCAATAAATGCATAAAAAAAGGAAAGAAACAAAATCAACACTCTAACTCATCAACTCCAACAATTAGAATGACAGAAGAATCCTAAAATATCTAGAAGCAAGGAAATAATAAGATCAGAGCAGAAATAAATGAAACAGCAAAAAAATCATAGAGAAAATCAAAACAAAAAGCTGGTTCTTAAAAAAAAAAAAAAACATAATATAATTGATAAACCATTGGCAGACCTAAAAAAAGAAAAGAAAGAGAAGATCCAGATCACAAGAATTATAACGCAAATGATGTCATCACAACAGAACCAACAGAAATAAAAAAGATACTGACAGAATATTATGAAAAACTGTACTCCAATAGATTTGAGAACCTAAAAGAGGTGGACAAGTTTCTAGAATCATGAGACCTACCTAAACTATCGCACTCAGAGATAGAAAACTTGAACAGACCTATAACAAAATAAGAAATTGAACAGGTCATTAAAAAAAACTTCCCACAAAGAAAAGTCCTGTCCCTGATGGCTTAACTGGAGAATTCTATCAAATATTCAGAGAAGAGTTGACACCTATGCTACTCAAGCTATTCTGGAACATAGCAAAAGGTGGAATACTCCCAAATTCATTTTCTGAAGCAAGCATAACACTAATTCCAAAACCAGGGAAAGACACCACTAGAAAGGAAAACTACAGACATATGTCCCTTATGAACATAGATGCAAAAATCTTTAACAAAATCCTAGCCAACAGAATTCAACAAAATATCAAAAATTAATACACCCAATCGAAGTGGGATTCATACCAGGTTTACAAGGTTGGTTCAACATCAGAAAATCTATCACTGTAATCCACCACATAAACAAAACAAAAGAAAAGAACTATGTGTCAGTCGATGCAGAAAAAGCATTTGATAAAGTCCAACATCCATTCCTGTTCAGAACTTTCAGCAAAATAGGGATAGAAGGGAAATTCCTCAACATAATAAAGGGTATAGAATCATGAGACCTACCTAAATTGTCGCACTCAGGGATAGAAATCTCTTCTCTGAATATATGATAGACAAAGCCAACAGCCAACATCGTTATTAATGGAGAAAGGCTCAAGGCATTCCCCTTACGACTGGGAACTAGACAGGGATGCCCTCTATGACCACTTCTATTTAACATTGTATTAGAAGTCCTGGCCAGGGCAGTAAGGCAAGAAAGAGAAATAAAAGGCATACAAATTGACAAAAAGGAACTAAAACT